TGAAGCCTCTAACGCTTTTCGAGCAGCAATATGTTCTTCACCGGACAAAATGCAGCACTGGACTTCAGAATCATCTCCTACATGTCTTCTTTCCTGTGCTTTCCAAAAGGGCTTACGAGACTTTGTCTTCTGTCACTAACCGATGTTCGTTAACATGTACTTGGATAATCGCCAGGGGTGTGCGGGCACTGGAATATTCGCTTTGCTGACTTTTCGCACTCCGCTCGCAGATTTCTGGAAAATGGTTAGGTTGAGGTTTTTAAAGACCGCCTGTTGAATATTTTCCCATCCCATTTCTCGCGGATATATTGTTGATTTTTGGACGAAGCAGGAAATCAACAAGCGGCGTTGCAAAAAGTTGTACCATTTTCTAAAAAAACCAGCGAGCGTAGCGCGAGAAATCAGCCACCTATTTTTCCGATGCCGCCCACCCCAGGCATTGTCTGAGTACATGAGGTGGTCGATCAGTTTTGTCTATGTAAATGGTATGGCATATCTTACACTCTGACTGATAAATCACTGCGCATTTCGAACAGTTTCCCAATCTCTTATCTTTGCAAACAACGCATTTCTGCACCCGCATTATCTGTCATACAACCTATCGCTGACCTTGCTTTTTGATGTTGCCTTAGGGTATGTTCACTGAACAACAACATCATCCGCCAATCGCGCCTGTATTATGCATTGCTTAAAAGCATTGCTTACTCTATCGGACACGAACGGTAAGCATAGTGATATAGTGAACGAATCTGAGTGCTACCGTTTACGCATGTTCGCTTGCGAGATCTGGAGTTGGTAACCATTTTTAGCAACGCCCCGAAAAAAGAGAATAATTAATAATATAAAATAGAAAGTGAAAGAAAATAAAATAATATCAACAGAGTAGTGTTCATATGTAAAAATACTATTGTGGTAGGTGTGGTGGCCGGAAAAACATTAAACTGTTATCAGCAGGGTAGTAGAGTTTTTGGTAGATGGGTATGTGATGATGTTAAATACATTTACAAAAACATGGATGGAATCAGCTCAGCATATGCAACCAATCATCGAAATAAAGCAACCGCTGTCCACACAGGGTCTAACTGAAAGAAAACTGACAGGTACTGAGTCTAACTATACGAGCAAATAAGATGCTGCAAGTCAACTTTCCTCGGTCTTGATTTGAAAGCCGCACTCTAGCTATTCGAAGAGTATCGGCAGAGAGACGCTGTAAACCATCGTACTCCAAGGCCAATTTGTTGAAGACTAGCAAGAATTTTTCTCGTCTTACTGAAAGGTAATGTAAGTTGAAGGTGGAGCACTGTAGATTAGAACCAGACCAGACCAGACACGTAAAAAAACGAAAAAGTGTGAGTAATGGATCGTCTCCAGCTTACAAGGGAATAGTCAGAAACCCAAATGGCCATTTCAGAAAGTTGTATACCATTAGGTGAAGCATAAAAAGTTGACTTCGAATCCATATTTCGTACCTGCTAACATGTTTATAGGAGAGCTTATGAGCCGTCAAAGGTCATTGTTTTGCTAAATAATAGCGCATGCAAAGCACAAATCTGGAAGTACAGAACCATCTTCGGCTTAATGCTGGGCCAAATCATGCAACTAATAATAAGTTACTTTATACTCATAAGGCTTAAAGGCGAGCTGAAAGTGCAACAATGTACTCAATTTCGCAAAGTTTATGCACGATTTCTCGCAACGAAACTGCTTATGACTTCGTCCGCGAAGGCGCTAGATATGGAATACAGATTCGAAATGTGCTTTGAATGCTGCGAAAACTAAGCACGGCCTTTTTATTTAGTTTTCACGAATTTAGCATGAAGCTAGAGTTTGAATCCCCTCACTTGCATGTGCACACCAATTTTGGTGTCGTACATTGCTTCTGTTTGTAAGGTAGGTGCCAGAGTAAGCGAATATTTTGTTCAGCTTTGTTCAGCTGAAAAAGGCGTGTAGAATTACTATCTGCTGCTTAATCTCTAGGCCTGTGCTTCAGCTGCAGGTCCCGCGTTCGACACTTAGAACCCAAATTTAAGCTTTGAACAGGGCAAAAATATTGTATTTGGGGCGCCCACCCAGTTTTCAAAAGGCAGCTCGACGAGATTTTCAATGGAAAGTTGGGAGGGCTTGGCACGAACATCCTGCTGCCTGTAATTTTTTCTTTGGATAGCATGCACATTTCGGAGCCATCGTTGCTTCCCGCACCGAACATATAAGCAATGCCGTCCGAGCGCGCGCTCTGGTTCGAGGTCTATTTTCTTCTCACAAGGGAACGATACTCGGTGTCCGTGGCTTTTTGAGATGAGATATATACCATTAGACTCGTCTTCGAACGCTGATTCCGAATCTGACTTCCGTTTCTGCTAATCGCTTCAAAGATTTTATGATGGATGGCGCGGAGTTTGGCTGCTTAGTGAAATATGGTCGGAGCGCGAGCGATAACGTTACGCTGTGGTCTAGTGGTTAGTGCGATAGCCTCATGAGTCGATGCAGGTGTAGGTTCGAGTCCCTTTGTGTTTTTCAGTTTTGCCTTGCCTCAGTTAACCTTCTTTCGCATCCTCAAGCTGAGTGAACGCCCTTACTCTTCAAAAAATGGAATGAATGATTGGTGTTCGCGCTGAAGTTTATCCAGTGATTATGATTCGAGTGAATTTTCTTGAACAAGTAAGGCAGTGCAAAGGTAAAAACACAAAAGGATTTGGACCTACACCTGCGTTGACTTATGAGGCTATCGCACTATTTACTTGACCAGCACGTGGCCGCAGTAGAGGCCGTTCCAATGACCATAATTCCTTTGGGCGGCCAAACTTGGCTCAAAATTCGCTATAACTTCTTTCAGAAAAACGATTAGCAGAAACGGAAGTCAGATTCGGAATCAGCGTTCGAAGACGAGTGTAACGGTATGCATCTCGTCTCAAAAGGTCACGGACATTGAGTATCGTTTCCTTGTCAGACATTCGCAGTTGTCACCGCATGTGGGCAGCCCACAAAATGGCTGATCGCACCAAAACCCGGTGCGGGCGGGAGACATGAATTTATTAGGTTGGCTAAAAATAAATTCGGTCGTTTTTAGCGGTTTGTAAATTGTCACAAATCAGTTTTTGTGTGTATATATGGCACCTCTGGAAAGAGCAAATCAAGGAGAATCGGATGGTTAACTTTGTTTTCTCGAAAATAATTTTTCTGATAATGAAATGGTGAAGGAAAGAAAATTGGTCTGATTTTTTCCTCAAAATTTCGAAAAATCACGTTTCAAAAACGAACTAACGTCAGATCTAAAGTGTAGATTCGTTATCCACACAACAATTCTATGGACTTCCAACCATTTGCATGGTTATACAGGGTTGGCCATAATTATAGCGACAAGATTTACTGCAATTAGCGTACTATTCTATCGTGCACATAGCGCGCCAGTTTTATCGATTTTTCAATCTCATCATTTTTTCTAACTCCTGTTAAAATTTGGTTAAATTTGGTCCATTTATAGTGAAATGGTGAAGCCTTCTCCTGATTGTTCCGCTATCCTTTGTCTGCACGAAGCCGGCCGCCCACCCGCCACGATCGCTATGTAAGCACCTCGGCATCCACCGCAGCGTCGTGTATCGCACACTCCAACGTTATCGAGACCCTGGTGGACTCCAAGACCACCGAAGAAGTGGAAGACCTCGTACTGCTCGCACGCCGAAGGTCGTCGAGGGGCCGTCCGAAGGTCGTCCCGGCCGTCATGCGTCGACCCCGGCGTCAAAATCGACAAAGATTACTACCTGAAGACGATTTTGGAAGATGCTCTACTCCCGTGGGCGAATTCCCACTTCACACGCCGCCCGTGGACATTCCGGCAAAATTCGGCGCCCGCCCACAAGGCCAAGGTCGTCCAAGCGTGGTGCAAGAGCGAACTCCCCGACTTCATCCCGGCAGAAGAATGGCCGGCATCGTCACCGGATTTGAACCCACTGGACTACATCTTGTGGTCCTACCTTGGGAGCAAGGCCTGCGCCACTCCCCACCCCAATTTGGATTCTCTGAAGGCAGCGCTCATCCGAGAATGGGACGAAATCGACGAGGCACTCCTGCGTCCGGTCATGGACGCCTTTCCCAGGCGACTTTGCCCTGTCGTCCGTGCCAAAGGTGCCCGAATCGAGAAGTAACTTATGATTGTTAATTGTAGCAGTTGTTACTTAATAAATGTTATGTTCATGACTCGTTTGCACTTTTTTTTTCTGAGATACAAGGTGAAAACCTTGTCGCTATATTTATGGCCAACCCTGTAGATGGCCAAATTCGAGAAATCTGGAATGCCCAAAATTTGACCTTCACGTGCAAATGCCTGGAAATTTTTACAATTTTTACTGCAGAAATTCAGAAACAACAGGTCACAATCTCTATTGTGGTTCGCTTCGCCACCTAATCAGAGGCCTGTATGTATCCAGCCATTCGTCTGTGAATTCCTGTAGGCTGGGAACGAAAGCTAGAAAGCCAAAAAAGCGATTTTTTAGAAGTCTGACCATATAAGGTTATAAGTGTCATTTTTGGTAACAGAAAATCTTGACTATCTAATATTTGAGAGTAGAGGCTTGAGGCTATCTTCTCACGAAATATCTTAGCTGAATAGCTGTTATGTGAATAGATGAAGCTTTGAATTTTCATGTCAAAACGAACTTATTTATTAGCCAACTTAATAGTTTTACCCAAATTTTACTGGGATTTTGCCACGATTCGCGATTTCGAAATAACGTCAGCTCCACTTATCGTTTTCCTTTTGATATTGTTAGCCGACCGTTAGTCTCTTGTCACCTCTTTCTGCTCGAAACGTGACGTATTCCTCCAATTTGATATAATATTAGTCGAAATTTAGCAGGTATCCGGAATATTGTCATTGCAGCGCCCACATGGCCAATGAGAACATTCACGATGGGTCCTCGTGAAAGTGATGGTGAAAGTGACTTCGTTAAAGCCGTATATAATGGAAAGGAACCATCAGTAAGGTTTCTCACATTCAGCTTCCAATGTCACCATCTGAAATTGATGAACTGTCTGACGACGATGAAGAAACTGAAATGAGCATGGATGAGATCAGTGAAGTAGGACAGTGTAGCTGACAGATGGTGGAGCTTTTTTTCTGAATTATCAAATTCATTTTGCGATGATCATGATTACACATTAGAGACTTGAAATGGATTGTCTTTCCGATATCAAGAGTTCCTTCGCTGCGGCACGCCGCAGCACGCCGCGTCCTGCGGTGTGCGCCGTTGCACTCGCAGTGAAAATATAATCTCGCTCGCTATGAAGGAACGCTTTTGAAGAACACGAACGTGCAACAAATATAGATATATAGATATACATCCATGACCGACGAAGCTGTGCTGCCGTGAGCGTATATTTTCACTGCGACTGCAGTGAAAATACGCCGCAGCACGCAGCGTACGCCTCGCAGTAAAAGTACACCCATGGCAGCACAGTCTCGCTATGAATACTCGGAAAACACAAGGAGTAGAGCATATAGAAATACAGTGATAGACAGAGTGTGCTGCCCTAGGCGTAATCACGCCGCGGCGCACGCGGCAGGCTGTCGCGTCCTGCGGCGTAGTATGAAGAAACCCTAAGGATGAAACAGGTTACTTACCTGTTCCATCCTTAGGGTTCCTTTACACCTTTGAGAGACTACTTTCTCATCTTCACCAAGGTGATTCAAAGCAGTTGTACATAAACTGTACTATGCATATTTATTCGACATCAGATCTTCGAAGCTATCATAACACAAGTTGCTGCCGCAGATCTCGTGGAAGGGTTTGGGAATGGTGTTGAAAAGGTACATGTAATTCAGTGAGAATTTTAAGTGGCTTAATTGCTTCTAGATTCTTTCGCTATGCAATCTACCCTCTCTTGTAGCAGATATGGCTGCGAGCACATTATCCACTACTGTCGGTAGTATTGTCAAGTTCGTTTTGGTGAGTGTTCAATGTTTTCAGATATGGTGTCCGCAACACCAACATCAGTTTTCTATTGGCTATTCAACACTCTTTTGATTGTAGCAACAGTAAAATTTGGAGACAACTCTGTGCTCTACAACTCTGTAACTCATGCTTGCAATTATGGAGGAGATCCTGCAATCTATCAGACCTCTCGCTGCGCGTTCATCTCGCGATCATATTGATTCGAACAGTGGTGCTTCTATACTTATGCCACTGGGTGATGAAGGCATAGTAGCAGCTATCACTAGCATGAGCAATGCCGTACCGATTCTCAGCATGCTGACGAAGAATACCGCTGTGTCCGTGCCACAAACTTATGTACATGAATAGGTTTTCTGCATTTGTGTTGAGATGCTGTACTTGTTACACTTCAGCTGTGAAACTTCCAGGGTAAATTTCGCAATTGGGTCTGGGATGCTTGGCTGACTGATACTAGTAAGAGGCTACATCTAGGATTCCTCAAGGTTAGTGTGATTCTCATTAGCAGAGTGTATAGTTGCTATGTAATTGATGCTAGTTTTGATTCAGAAATAATTGCTGCACACTACATATTCAATCTGACAGTGTCTTTCTAGGTGGCCCGAGATTGTCTTGGGACCTATTCAGCACGGATGTGCCTGCTTACCATCTTGATGCTGACCGAGCAACTCTCCTTGCGTCAAAGGTAAAACTTTCGTTCTTAAAAGACTACGTTTGTGCTGATGCTTTTCATAAGAAGCGCATCATGACATCTACCGCAAGCACTGACTTAACGCTATCAAAAAAACGGAATTCGCCTACACTGCAGTGGAGGAAACGGATGCGAACGATACATATCAGTGCAATTCCAGTTGTTTTTGTGAAGTGTCTTCTCGACGTAGTTTATTTCATTTTGCGCTGATGTAGATTTTTGATCGCTGATTTTTTCTACCATTAAGTTTCGGATAAATACCTTAGCATGATTTGTAAGTAACAGTGGAAGAAGACAGCACGGTAAAAGTGGAACACACAAGTATCATGACTTATAATAACGGGCTAAGGGTTGTTTACGTGTTTTTGTGTGTGTGTCTGTCTGTCTGTCCGTTAGAAATTCGTAGAGCGTGTTTCAGCCAACGTCCTGAGTCCAAATTTTGCACGGCATATGCTACCAGCATGAAAGCTCACTGTGCAAAAGCAAAAGCGGATCCGCTAAGTGGATTTCCCAAAAATTGCGCGTAAAGCGAATCCACCTGGCTTCTGGCCACCAAAATTGAGTCTGTACCACTACTTTTTGCGAAGTCGTGGATATGTTTGACAAGCTAATAATGTGGAAGCCATGGACTTTAGGCCAGAAAACTGAATTGAAGTTGACTACTTTACGAAAATGGCGTCAGAAAGAATTAGTTGCGTCAATGTTCAATCTGCCAAGATTTTACCTGATTATTTGTGAAGATTTTTGCACAGTGATGTAGCCCACGGTGCTTACTGTCCATATGGCGACTACCAAGCCATAAAAAGTCCCAAAAACGATTCAAATTTGCATTTATTTCTCTGGGAAAAGTTTCATCCACGCGAAAATACCGACCTCATATGAAAAAGCAGTGGGAATGAGTAACCGTTTACAAATCATTCGTGAGAGCCTGCATAGCGCGGTGAGATTCAAAGTCACACTAAGGGGAATGAGTGAGGCATAGAGAAATTAAGGCCAGTGCGAGCCTCTGCGAAGCAGAGGTGACGCACCTGTATATTATATACTCTACACTTGTGTGTTCCACTATATGTATACTTACACTGTATACATATTATATATATAATATATATGTGTAATATATACACACTTACGAGGGTGAACCACAGCTTGTAGTAAGGATTGGGGCATTATGATGTCCGGGTCACCTTTGATATGACCGAAGAATGCCTCGCACTTTTGCCCCGATGCAAAAAGTGTCCCGATTTTGCCCCGACACCGATTTCGTTTGACGCGCAGTTGATCAATGAATTCACAACATTTTGACCTGCGGGTGACAACTGCGAATGTGTGAGTTTGCGCAGAGGGAACATCAACCAGCCGGACTGAGTCTGGAGATTAGTGAGGTGACCAGGAAACCCACCATAGCTCTGCAAGATTTCGCTGAATAGAGAACTTGTCTGCACTCTACCCAAATGTGCATCATTTTTATTTCTTAGTTTTATTGGCGCACTTGTTATTTCTGTCTGCATCGGGAAAGCGGTTCGGCTCTATGGTGATATGAATACTAATTTTGTTTTAACAACCTAAGTTTTCCCTCCTGTGAAAATACTGCACAAGTTTCATGCTTTTATGCGTGCCAATAAAACTAAGAAATAAAAATGATGCACATCTGGGTAGAGTGCAGACAAGTTCTCTATTCAGCGAAATCTTGCAGAATTGTTTTACTGGCCACTGCTTGGATTCGTTTGCTGGTCTTTGAATTTATGATGATAATCGGTGTTGTGAGGTTGCGCCATTTCAAATAAGTACTAAACTCAAAGTGTGTTAACTTCAATCGGTCTTTTGAAGTAGGATTACCAATGTGGGCCAAGAAAAACTGGCTTTTTGTGATGAATGCAAAAAGATGTAACTAGCAAAGGTGATTCGTTTGGTCGAAGCGGATCTTCCATATGAAACTAATGCGGCTTTGAAGGGCATTGAACGCTATTTCCAAATTTGTCTTATCTGCCGAGCGCCTCTGGACACTGAATTATGATCTTTCTTGAGTTGGAAAATTGAATGCGTAATCTAAAACAAAAATTGTCAGAATTGCTCATTGGTCCAATCTTATCATCAGAGCATCTCACTCAACAAATTCTTTTTGATTGAACGCTCATATTTAACACTGCTCTATCTGGGCGCTGAAAAAACATTTGATATTACCTAGTTCGTGGTGTTCATTCTTCGCACTAAAAAACATTCATGACTCGGCATGCAAAGACACTTGACAGTAACAACATTAGATTTGATGCTCTCTAAAGTGATATACAATTCATCGGAAAAGCCTCGTCGACAAAACGAACCTCCCTTGTAAACCTCATCTCTGAAATATATTTGGCTAGGTTCGAAAATGAGCACTGAGATTGGTGCCCAATGCTAGGACCTGCTATGATAGACTAATTTTGCTCAAATAGTGGGCCAAGCAAATTTTCAGGCAGCTGTCGACAGTATTTGAGCTTGATTGTGTTTGTTCGATTATATGACTTTACTTGATATTCTGTGCCGTACAAGCTTTCACGATGGTACATTTTATTACAGCCTGACGTTTCGGTTACTCGCCGTCTAAGAGGTATGGAAATTTGTTTCACATTGACATCACTCTGCCCAGCCTCCTCCCATCAATTTAGTCGATTCATCT